ATCCCGTTTGGATTCTCTGCAAAAAGCTTAAACAGAGGAAACTAAACAAGACACTTAGTTTCCAGAAGCGGGGACGATTTGCTAGAAATGGTACAGTTTCAAAACTGCGATTTAGATAACCTTTTAATGTTCGTGAATAGCTTGAAAGTTGAAAAAGTAAGAAAACAATTCTGAAAGTCTACTTTATTAAAAACAAACTCATTTATAACGGTAGTTTTCCTTGACCAGTACTGAGTGTTTCTCTGATCCTTTTTTCCGAAAGCAAAACAAACTTTTTGTACAAACTTTATGAAACTTTGTAAGTACCTGGTAAGTTGAATTTAAAACTTGATGCCTATAAAACCCACCTTTCGGTTTGATTGTACACAGCTCATATAGCTGTATGGCATTCATTACGACAAACAAGACGAGAACTGAAGTAAACAACTGGCCGTACACGACTTCTGTTCGTACTGATCGGTTAACAACTCTTCTAAACTGTCAGACTAGTTTGATCTACAGACAGTTTAACCGTGCATTTCTTCGACTTGTTCGTTTACTTTAACCGCTCCAAAATCTTTCCTTGGAACAATAATTAACCTTGGGCTAGTTAACGACTTTATACAGCCCTACAATGCCGCCGTTTTTCAAGGCAATAAACATCGCTGATCTTATTCTTGTTTGAAGTTTGCAAAACAAATTTATGCAGGACAGTGACGTGATTCAACCTGTGAAATTTCTAGCCAATAGAACTCCATTACTTGTTTTCAGTAGCCAATCACTAAGCGAAAAAAGTTATTGACAATAACATTGCGCTAGATTTTCTTGTGTTGTCTTCATTTTTACCGGCAATATTTGACTTCTTCGAGCTTTTGTTATTGTATGCGGCTCGTGGATCCACAACACTTTGACAATGTTATAATGTCATTTTATCATCAATAAGAGGACAGACGATAAAGAACTGGCGTCAATTTGTTAACTACAGAACATGGACACAATTCGGTCACGTGACGTTGTATTTCGAATGGAGTTGCCCAGTTCCAACTGTTTGAGCCAGAACGCCAGGTAACTACTTCATAGCTTCAAGTCGAGGCTTAAGGGAAAGGGCCCCCATTTTTGAAAGCACATGAACTAGAGCTGGATGTATTAAGTCATGTTCGTGCGTAAAAATAATTTAAAAAGGTCAGACCTCCCTCAACTCTTTCGATTTTTCGAGTTAGAAGAATCTTATAACAAAAAAAGATCGTCTTTGTCCTCGCGCTGATAAAGAGTTTGATTCTATGTAAGTGCATGTATGCTCCGAGCATTTTGAGATCCAACTAATCATGAACACCTTGTCTGGAACTAAAAAGGTAGCAAAAGGGACGGTCCCGACGATTTGCTGACCCCAAAATGAGTCCCTCGAAGCCCAAGTTAAAGTGAAAAACGGATGAATTACCAAAAAAAAAGGAAAATATAAGATTTCAAGTTGGCATAACATTGTAATCGTCAAAAAAATACTACTTCAGTATTGAAAGATCATTGGTAAATTTACAAATGTTGGTATTTTTTGTAGGTAATTGGTAGATTAGAAAATTATTCCAACAATGGAGATGAATTGGTTGATTTTTGATACAATGACCACTACATAACACTAAGAAATATGAGCGTTAGGCTTTAATCAGCCATACGTTATTCTGCTGCTTCTCGACCAGTTGAAAGCTTTTAACACGATTGATCAACTACAAGATTCTTTTGCGCAAACCGTCTAGTTGTACCTAGATCGTAAGCAAGTAGTCAATGTCTATAGGGACCCACATCATATAGCAAGGACTGGCAATTTCAACTCCGTACATCGATCAGCCGTTGAACCCGAGATTAAATTAAATGCAATAATGCAAATTGATTTGAAATATGCGTAAATACCTAATTTTCTTTCCACCAGCTTCAAACAGTGGCAGAGAAAATTGCTTTAAATATAACTAATAAATTTACCTCACAAATGAACAAGTGCACGTACGTGGCAGCGGTGGCAGCGTGGCGCAGTGTGGTTAGGGGCTGACGTCATCATAGTGTTGGTTCAAATATCGATGAAGCTACAGTCGAGGTTCTCCTTGAGACGTCTCTCGTAAGCGACCAGCTCTAGTTATGAACATCTTTCTTTACGAATTATTAAAAAGTTTCTTAAACTCTCGTAATCGACCACCCTCTATTATTTTACCATCCGTTTGCTTACGAAAGCTCATTCTCGTAAGCGACCAGCTCTAGTTACAGCCACTGTTTCGAATTTCCGAGGTGGTCGCTAACGAGAGTTTCGACGGTATTTTCTTTTTCTTTGTCCTTTTTTTATCTGTATAGTTCCTCCGTTTTGTTTGTTTATTGAACTTTTTTTTTCGCTTTGGGTTGTTTCCCTTTATTCTCACTGCTGAATCTTTCTAGGCTGGCGAGGTTTTTGCGATAACGTATTTGTTGTGGTTGTTGTTACATATCAATGTAGAGAAGATCATCGCAGTCAAAGACTGCCAGGCTTGTCAGGATTTAAACCCTGACCTTTGCGAAACAGGTATAGGGCTCTAACCAACTGAGATGGCAAGACAACTGGGAGATGGTCATTAAATTGGTCTATGATATACCCAGGAAAAATGAATTATATCAATTTCATATATTGAAACTGCAGGATGAAGAAATAAATGTAAGAGGATCATCGCAACAATTGGAAGCTGGTCATTAAATTGGTTCATGAATTTCATATATTAAAACTTCTGCAGTTGCAAAAAGGAGTACCAAGAAATAGGCTGCAAATCAAGAGATCTCATGTGCAAGTAGAATAGGTAATGACGTCATTTCGTTACTATGACAACTCTGATGTCATTGTAACACTGATCATAGGAAAAATTCATCTTTGTTTAATACAGCTTTGGTGATCATCTTTCCAAGTCTTTGTAAAGGCGACCTAGTGTATACTCAAACTTAGGAGGTTTTGCCGCTGAAAAACCCTATCGAGCCACCTGAACACCGGTCAAATGAGTACCTATAACGCTAGCGGTATGAATTCTACGCGCATGTCATATCCGACCAGACACGAATTAGTCAAGCGATCGTCCCGTGGTAGTGGTCCAGGAGAAAATCCCCCGTCAATATTTATTTAATAAGTCGCTTGCGTGACTAAACAATGTCTCGTCTTCTCCATTGTCTGCTTTCTGCCTGATCGCAGGTTAGTGCAATTACAGTCGAACCATCCGTAAGGCCACCAGCCAAAATGCGAAGATTTGGTGGGTCGCTTACGAAAGTCAAACTGCAATTGTCTCTTTCAAGAAGAGGTGACTAAACTGGCGATACACTTACTTTTTGGAAGAGAACTTATTGCATGTAAAGTTATGATATGTGTTTTTCCGTGTTGTCACTAATTCATGTAGTTCTTCGTATACTCCGAGCAGTGTAGTACATACAGTGAACTTAGAGATCTTACATTGTGTCTAGTGATCGCTTAAAGAGATTAAAAGAACGGAAAATTACGTAACCGCCACCCTAAATAGTGGTCGTTTACAAGGGGTTCTAACCATAGGGCTTCCTGTGCAAAAAAATTTATTGTTTCGGTTAGATGTGTCGCTTATGGGAGTTGGTAGACTGAGAGCAGTCTCTTATTTCTCTTTTGAGTCACAGTATATCGAGAGCACACTTGAGAGGGGATCCGGGGGGTACTCCCTATAATGGCCTGTACGGGGAGGTTTTCGCCCGAAGGGGAAACCTTTTTCAGGTTCCAGATATATGAAAGGGTAGGGATCTCACGAGCTGAGGTACATGTGAGGGTAAGTAAATCTGATATTCGGTGTATAAAGGACAAAAAGGGAAGTTAAAAGGGATGCCGCGCTCTAAACAAGGTAGGTGAAAGAGGGACCATTTGTCAGTAGAAGGTATAGGAAAGGGGAACCTTATCTGTCAAAAATGGTATATAAAAGGACAAGGCCTTAAAACTCTCTATGGATCCTCCCCGGATAAAACATAATTAGGTAGCCTCCCGTCCCCTCCCCCTCCGGAGATGGGAGAGGCGAAGGCGCGAGGAACGAGGCAAAATTAATTTGCATAATTTTCCTTTTTCACTCGTCGCGCGTGGCTCTTGAGAGTTCGTGCCACTGGTTACCCTAGATACATATATTTTCAATTTTTTTTAGAAAGGTAGACAGTTTGAAATGCCAGCTAAATATACGGGAACCTTAATTACGGTCCTTAACTCAAACGATAGTCCATCCTGTGGGGTCAGTAGCAACTACTTACAGGAAAAAGATTTACGATAAATTTTTTCATCAATCTGGATCATCACTTATTTCCTGTTGATCGGTGGGGGAGGAAATGGAGAATCCCCTCGGAAATACGTGAGGAACACGGATATAATTACAAACATGCTATGGAGCTAGTTTGACTGCTGCAGCAGACTATTTAGGAAAAAAGCTGTCTACGTTAAATTGCATATTTCTATGATTTTGGAGGTAAGAAGGAAATCAGACACTATTGAATTACCCACTTTCTTTGTTTTTATTGTATATAATACCATGCCATTTAATACAGGGTGTTATTTTAATCCCCTTTCACTTATATGACCATTCAGGAACCCATAAGCTCCTGGCCATTGCAGTACCTCTTCCTAGTTCTTATCTTACATCATGGTGTTGAATAATGCCTAGTACGCGTTAAGCTTCCTTAAAAATAAAACTACCCTTAAACCTTGAGGACGACTTCCGTTATGGTGACTTCCTATCGTACAAAGACTTTCCAAAAATCGCCAGGGGACACTCCCACGTTATAATCGTCGCATTCCCACCTGCCAGATGGTGTAAGAAGCCAGTGGTAAGCTGCAGCTGCAAAAGCGGTGTGGTCGTATAATCTGTTCTGATCTTTCTCGGCGCCCCATTTGCCAACTTTGTAAGAACCTCTTTGGTATCCCCAATCCTTGCAGACTCTTGCTAACCGCGAGTTATCATTGCTCATGATCACAAACGAGCCACAAGAGGCAGGCATTACATCTGTCTCACCACTGAGGTATTTCACAACAGCTTCACCTGTACTGTTATAATAATAATAATAATAATAATAATATTCAATACTTATATTGCGCTTTTTCTATAAAAATACTCAAAAGCGCATTACAATATTATCAATAACTAAATTAAAACCAGTAAAATCACCCGGTAAAATTACAAAAAAAAAAAAAAAAAAAAAAAAAAAAAAAAAAAAAAAAAAAAAAAAAAAAAAAAAAAAAAAAAAAGTTAGCAGTTAGCAGCCGTGGTGATGTGAAATGTACGACCTCCTCTTTTTTTGCAGGTGAATCTTATCCGAGTGAAATGCAAGTGATTTCTCAGCTCCTTCATGGCGCTTTTTGTGAGTACCATCTCTTTGCTGCTTACTCCGCGGTACGATGTCTTAACTGGCAACTGAGTGGAAAATGAACCGTGCGAAACAACGTTGGATACAAGAAGCCATCCCCCTGAAATTCGATAAATGTTTATCATTGGTTTATCAGTCATGTGGGCCAAAACAAACAGTAATGTTTAGTTCAAAATAATTCACACGGCGGAAAACCACGGTGTAGCCTCCCACGGGCAGGAACGAGTGACGAACCCCTAAAAACTTGGGAGGCTACCCACTGTGAGCCTTATCAATGTTTTACAATATAACTCAGGTGAACTGTACAGTACGGCAACTGATCCCCGCGCCACCGTAAATGGTCCTCAGACCGAAAATGATCCCCAAAATGGACCGCAAATGATCCCCATCGTCGACCACAAATGATCCTGAGAGGAAAATCCTGGAATGGTCAGGACTTAACAAAGTTACTGGTTCATCGTGTCACGTTTATTATCGCAACAAAACATTTTAATTCAACTGAATTAATTTAACAAATAAATGCCAAGACTGAAAAACAAAGAAAACGGAAACAAAACACAAATAAATGCAAACAAAAAAAGATTTTAAATGCAACCAGTAAAACAATAGCTCTTGCTTAATTGCTGGTTTTAAAACATTAAAACTTAACTGAACTAAATTTCACATACTGTAGTTCAATTAGATGTAATACAGGGTAAGAAGAAATTGCTCAAATCCGATCTTTCGGAAACTTCGTATCAACTTTAGAAAATGATAACTTTTGTAACGGCGAAAATCTCTGAAAACGACCCCAGATAAAAGCTCGCTCTAGTACACTGAACCCCATCAGGATAATTCTTTGCTTATAGGTACAAAATTTTCCACTTAATCGTTCCTTCGTTTCTCTTTCCCTAATTTTGTATTTTTGTAACTGTCTGTGTCTCCAGCAGCCAAGACACGGAAAATGAATATACAGGTTTGCGCCGACAGGGTCCTTAGCACTAGACGCAACATTTTCACGAGTTGTAGTTGCTTAATGTATTTCGAAATAAACCAAAAACCTCTATAAAGTGATAAATACAGGGGTCATATTCCGGGGTCATATTTACCTATTCCTAGGCGTTAAAATGAAAGAAAAATTTCTTTCCTAACGTCCTTCCTGTCCTATATGTTCACAGCAACGAAACATCAAATGCTTGAATAACGAAAGAAGAATAAAATGCCAGAAGAAACAGTATTGTTCATTGATTGTTCTACGCGATGTGCAAATTCTCAGCACTTTCACCATCCATGCCTACAATATATTCCATTCCACTACTTTTCACTGGATCACTTACAGTCGACAATGGGGATCATTATTTTGATTTAGAAGTCGCATTTCACGTGCGACGAATATAATGCATTAATTATAGGAACCCTTATCCATATTGGATGACAATTTTTTTTTAGTGACTGGGAATATTTACAACAAACTGAGTTAAATTCGTCACCATTATATACGACGTCTGAATCAACTGCCGTTTATTTCATTATTTTCATCGACTAAAATAGGTGTTCGGCATTCATAAGAAATTCCATGTTTGAAAGGGGCCTAACATGTTTTCAGCTGAGTGGTTTGCAGGCTGTTATTGAGTTGTTTTTTTCTTTTCAGTGAGAGCAATTCCTATCTCTTTGTAAATCCATTTTATTAATCGGCTTGTGCCACAACTTAAGAATCAGCTGTAATGGCTGATTTTACTTTCCCTTTGACATGATTTGTAAATCAAAAAGAGCAATGAATTTTCATCCACTCATTTCAATAAAAGCAAATGGCATCACTTCTCACTATAACGGAAACCCATGAACGGTGACTTCGTCGTATAAATTTGCGGCACCGAAGAAAGACGAAAAGGCTAACCCTTTTTGATCAAATTATTTTAAGGTTTAAACTCGAAGCTTTATATAGTGTAAAATAATTATAATTTACTTTTACCGGTAACACTTGCAACAGCAATAATAATAATAATAATAATAATAATAATAATAATAATAATAATAATAATAATAATAATAATAATTATTATTATTATTATTGTTATTATTATTATTATTATTATTATTATAATTATTCTAAAATCCTAAGCAAGGTACCAGTTAGGGGGAGTGGGGAAGCCACTGAACCATTCAGTTACTGTTTATGGATGACTTGAAGCTGTACGGGAAGGATGAATGTGAGCTTGACTCATTTTTCAATACAGTTCTGGTGTTCAGTACTGATATAGGTATGGAGTTTGGTATGAAGAGGCGTGGCGTTCTCATCTTAAAGAGGGGAAATGTTAAGAAAAGTGTGGGGATTACCTTGCCTGATAATTGCAAAATGAAATCAGTGGAAGAAGATGGTTATAAGAACCTGGAAATTCTGGAATATGACGATCTATTACAAGGGCACAAGAAAAAAGATTTGAAGGAAGAATATTTCCGGAGACTAAAGACAGTCCAATGTCAGTGGGAAAAATACGATACTTGCAACAAATTCATGGGCTCTGTCACTGGTGAGGCATGGAGCTGGAGAAGTAAACTAAAGTAAAGCTGAACTAGAAACCTTGGATAGAATAGAAACAAAAAACAGATAACTGTTTATAGAATGCTGCATCCACGGCTTGATTTTGACCGAACCTACTTTCGAAGAACTTCTGGGGGCCGTAAATTGATTGGCCTGGAGGAGGGTGTTCGCGACGAAGAAATGGGGTTGGCCTATTACATTCTAAACAGCACGGAACCACTGCAAAAAAAGGTAGAACGTGAAGAGGTATTGAAGAAAGAAATTGAGGAAGACCACAAACAGACAAAGAGAAGAAGGAGACTTTAGAGAAGATTGAGAAGTGGAAGACCAAGCCCCTTCAGGGCCAGATATTGCGTCAATTAAACAGGACAAGTCAGAGGTGAGAGGTCATACGATTGGCTGAAGAAGGGCGATTTGAAAAAGACTGAGACTGAAGGTCTTATAACTGCCTCACTGCCTGCGAGCAAGCTCTCCCATTTGGGCGAGCGAAGCGTGTCTCGCGAGAATGCACGAGCGAGCGGCGAAGCCGCGAGGGGCAGCGGAAAGGAGAGCTTGCAACGATCTCTCATAAAATTTCATTTGTACTTCGCCCAGACGAAGGGAAATACAATTGGCTGAAAAATGACGTTCCGGAAAACAAAGTTGATTGATAACAGGCCAAGCTAGCAAGCCCCTTCGTCTGTGTGACAAGTTTGGTTCTCAGGGGGATCAGATTGGTACCGAGAACTTGTTTCAGCCCTCAAAGCAGACGAGGGAGCTCGTTTGAATTAGTTCTCGCTAAGAGAATATTGCGAGCCGAGGATAAGTTGGACCGAGTTTATAGTTCTTGTGGAAGGAAAATGAAAACCCTTCATCAGTTGTATTCGTTTGTGTCAAGCGCCTTGTTTAGTTCTGAAAACGAGAATGAAAGTGAAGAGAAACTCAAGCGCCTTGTTTAAGCGCTACCTTCCAACGTCTGTTTCTTCGCCCAATTGAATTCCACTGGGTAGAAAAATTCAGAAACATGTACTTGACACTCGTGTAGTTTGACCGTAAAGAAGGTCAAGAGAAAGAGATGGAAGCAACTGGAGTACAACTTAAGAGAAGCAAGTCCAGGAAAACGCTATTCTCCAGTTCCGGAACGGACAAATATATTATGTTTTTGTTGGTGATTGCGACGAGGAGTAGTCTTTTACACTGCAGTTTGGACGACGTTTCAAAAGTAAACTAAACGAGAACCAAAGTATTGAGTTCTCATCCCAGCGGACACGTTGAAGTTCGATGTCCCCGTGGAAAAATAGCATATCATTGATTAAAAACATTGCTTTGATGCTGTTGCAAAAGCAATTTATAAAATAAATAAATAATTCTACGCGCCCTCGGCTGTCTAAACTTGACAGGCGATTGTCACATTTCTAATCAGCGGTGCGTTTGCGGTGACCGTTTTCACGCTTTGCGGAGTCCCGGGGTTTCCGGGGTGCAAATGAAAATTTATGAGAGATCGTTGCAAGCTCTCCTTTCCTCGGCCCCTCGCTCGCACGACGTTCTAGCGAGGCTCGCTTCGTTCGCCCAAATAGGAGAGCTTGCTCGCAGGCTACTTCACAACATCAGGCACTGAGAACGAATGCAAGCAAGGCATCCTTTGAAAAACAGGAGGTGTCTCCGCTCTGCAGATTGTGTGGAGAAAACGATGAGACACGAAATCATCTCAATTGCGAGTGCAGTAAGAGAATAGTACCAATAATGTTGCACGAATTATTCACCGGGAAATTTCAAGGAAACATATACAGTAAACACCAGCGAATAAGAACCTGATGGATTGAGAACCTTCTGGCAGAAATTTGCCTCTTTAATACCCCAAAACACAAGAACCTGTTTAGCCAAGCAAGATCAAGCAGGTTCTAATATGTCGGTTACAGTTGGATTATGATAAACAATTTAAAAAGTATAACAAGAAGGAACTTTTTAAAGAATTAGGAATTTAGGAATACGAGATTTTATTCTTTTTAACTCGTTTCTTTTTTTAATATCAGAGACAGATAATTTTCCTTAGTCATGACTTAATTTAAAACGCTGGACTACCTGCAAGAGTTATTGATCGCATCTGTGCCGCAAGGAGTGTATTTGGGAAATCGTTATTGACACAGTGATTGTATTTTTAGAATTTATATAATTTTTCATGTTGTTTAGTGCTTAATCCTTCATTAAATATTTTGTAAACTATGTACATATTTTTAATTTGAATAGAATTGTTGTTTATAATTTAAAAAAGAAGATACTGTAGTACTAAACTGTATATAAATTCTGTAATCAGTTTTGTTAGGATTAAAAAATTAAATTGTGACTAAAAACTGCAGTCTTGAGGACTAAACCCAAGTTAATTTACTTTTCTGGTAATCAACAATCTATTATCTCCTTCATAAAAATAAAGAAGCAAATTAAGAATGTACTTAGCCTAAATTGCAAATTCTGTATGAGGAAGTTACGTGGGTTCATCTGAAGAATGTGTTACAACAATTTCAGACTTTCAAGAACAGATCTCACCTCCGTCAATTGTCATGTCGCAATAAACGTTCAACGGGTTTCCACTGTTCTCAGGGTCAATCCAGTACCTCCCTTCTCCTTTAGAGTCACCAGAGTCCCGGATGATCTTACAGGAATGAGCAGGTAGCTTGGAATTCCAACCCCACCTTGCTGCAGCAAATAATAAAAAAAATGACTATATATGGTAAATATTCACTCCGCCGTGAAGCGATTGTAACTTCAAATTAAATAGACCAGCGTTACTCACGAATTTCGCATCTTTTTCCTTTGTAGTCCGGATGACAATGAGCAGGTTGTTTCTTCCTGTTGGAGGGCAAATCGCGGCAGGAAACCTGAGAAATTAATTTGAAAACCGAATTGAATTTAGAGACATCAAATAATATCTGAAAACTATGGATGACGCCATTATATGCTTTAGTTTTCATCAGTTTTGTTTGCAATATTAGTAAATATGTTGATATATATATATATATATACACCTTTTCTCTATTTCCTTCCATAAACGATATTTACCGTATGAGTAATAACAAGCATATACTTTGAGCTGCTTCAAGCCACAGGCAAACCGGTACGACAAATCATATTATTGAAAAGAAAATGTTATCAAAAGTACTATTTAAGCAATAGAAAACGTTTTCCGCGTTTGCATAGCCTGATATAAACACGAGAGGGGTTGTGAGAATTCGAAACAGTTATGCAAACCCTCGACTTCGTCTCGGGTTTGCATAACTGTCGAGAAATTCTTACCAGGCGCAAAATCTTGTCCACGAAGTCTTGCACGCGTAATCAGCCCTTGTTTTGCAAAAAGATGCTTTGCAAAATACGGATTTTTCTCGCTTAAAATTTCAGCTTAAGCGAAGAAAAATTGACACACCTTCTTTGTAACGATTTTCAATTTTCAGTCGACAAAGGAATGGGTAAATAAAGTAAACTTGTCGAGTTTTAAGCTCGAAAACTTTTTCAAATTCGTGCTTGCGTGATTAGCGCGCGAAAAGCCAAACAACTAGACGCCACAACCATGTTTACATACTCTCATGCAAACACTCCTCTCGGCCAATCAGAGCGCGCGTACTATCTTAGTTATTTTATAATTACGATATCAGAGTTCTGAAAACATGACTACTTAAATTCTTATAATATCAGTAACTTCATAACGACGCCTCGAAAATCAGAGATTTTAAGCCGGAAGTTTAAGAACTTAAATATTTGTCTGTTACTGTTTTGAAATACGATAAAACCGAACAGGGTGACCGTCGTAAACAACAAGTTCTTAAGTTGTTTTTGGTTAAGGTTTTTCTAGAGGTTTTTTTTATAATAAAGCTCAGCTATAACGCGCACTCTGATTAGTTGAAAAAGGATGGTTTAGGAGAGTATAAAACACGGAGCTAACTGCCGTCTTAAGTGCTAAACCCAAGTTAACTTGTAGATAGATAGATAATCTTTATTTATCCGCGGTACAAAATTCGTCAGCTTTAAAAATGCCTAATACTAATATAATAAAAATATTTAAATAAAAAAGCTGCTTTCCACGAATACCGTGCCTTACAGTTCTTTGAGTAATCGTTTAAATTGCCCAAGGGACTCTGCTTCCCTTAAGTTACAAGGAAGACTGTTCCAGAGAATGGCGCCACTATAGCTGAAGCTGTTTTTGTAATAGTTTGTGCGCGGTAATGGAACATTGAGTCCCTTAGGTTATATGCGACTTCTCGCCTTTCAAATTTTGAACTAAGATAGTTTGGAGCCATCGCGAGACTACAAGATCACCTCTGCGAAGTGGTCGGCGGATCTTATCTTCTTTTCAGATTCATTTTTTTCGATCCGAAGCTAAAGCAGTTGTTTTCAAATTGTCATGTTAATGACGTCCAGGTTTTTATGGGCCGCCGATTTGGCCGAATTTAAAAGCACTTTTTACCTTTAGACTGAAACTGATTTTTGGTTTTGGACGTAAAAAGTACATGTACAGTCAAAAAAAAAAAAAAAGCCAGTGTAGAGCACGATGACGACACTTTCTTTCGCTTTGAAAAATAAGTTTGTTTTGGAAATTAGAATGCGTGGGAAATTTAACGGATTCTTTATCATAGAACAAATAAAGAAGAAGCCTTGACTGTGCTCTGTTCTTTTGTAAAGTGCTTAGGAAGCGGCTAAAGCACTCAAGAAGTAGGGAGCAACACTCGACTACGTCTCCTGTTTCCCTCTACACTACTTTCGTGCTCTAGTCTTTTACTGCGTACTTTAAAAAAGAACAGGGCACAGTTAAGGTGTTTCGATACAGTTTTCAGAGGCCATGCCGATATTTTCAATCACTTTAAAAGTGATTTTATCCTTGTGTGATCGCTCTAACATTTTCACCAGTTATTGATCATAGATTGAAATTTGTCAAAATGTAGGTTTTAGTAAATTCGATATTACTGTGACAACAATAAACTAAAAACCTTTGAAATTGATAAAAGCCGAATTTTGCCCGATCTAGACCAGCTAATGAAAATCCAACACTAGGAACTTAAAGTTTGGTGTTTAACAATAAATAACCTCTGTAAGGAGTAAAAACTTCTGTATGTTTTAATTCGACTAAAACGAAAATATATTTCAAACCTTAAATTTCAGTAGCCGTAATAGATTATTTAATAAAAACGTTATAAATGACTCAAATTATTCTTACGTATCGTCAGAATGCTGCTTAATGTCAAATTTCGGTGGTAGGAAATTTTGGTGTATTTTCTTTCTCGCGATCTTGAAAACTAACCCGTTTTCTTACCACCTAACTAGGTGCAACTTCCGGTCATTCAAAATTTGGACTTTTAGCGGTTTTTGTATATGTTGTAGTTAATTTTTTATCTCAGGTAGTTTTTGTTTTCCTTTTGTTTTTGGGTATGGTAATGTATGCTAATGAAGTTTAAACAAAGGAAAAAATAAAAATTACCTGAAACGAAAAATTAACTACAACATATATCTTTGAAACGACTCGAATGAATTTTTTTCCAAATCTCTTCACAGAATCTTCATAATGTATATAATAATGTATGAAACTTTCATTAAGATTGACTCACTGCAACACCTTGAAATTTCAACACGAACCTATCCTACGAACCTGTCAAAAATCCGCACTACAATTCACTGTTTTGACGTAATGCTAATTTTTCCAAATTAATGCGGACCATACATATCTCTATGACTAGTACGTTTCAGTGTGAGTATTGTCAATGTTTTACATAAAAATAGTTTCTTAAAAAAATTCCCAAAATTACGATTACTTAATAGTTAGGTTTTTTATGTTTGTATATGCCTAATACACATTTTATATTGTTTTGTATTTTTAGTTTGTCGGGCGTTTTTAACATGAGCCTCTGGGCCCGGTTGCATTAAACTTACACTTAAGTGCCCACTTAAGTAGGTCACTTACGAATCCCTTATGGGTACACTTACGTGTGTTGCATGGAACGCACTTAGCACTCTCGTAAGTTACTGCGTTACGTGGTAACTTACAGGCTCACTTAAAGGCACACGTAACTTTGATATAGTACTTCATTGATGACTCACTTTTTTCTTAAGCTAACCATCGGTGAGGGTAAAGAAAGTTTTAAGTCGTTTCGAACACTTTTAAGCCTCTCAAAAAATGAAATTTGCATGCGAACGTTATTTTTCTTCAATATCTACTGAAAATGATAGTTCTTGTTCTTTTTTCACAAAGTCGGTCTTTAAGTGTACATCAAAGGTTAACAAAGCGCATTAGAACGAATTACGTGAAGAAAAATACTTTTTTCCACTTCTCAGTAAAAGATCTCGTTAAGTTTAGCAAAAACAGTGACGATACCTGACCTACATAGGTCCCGTAAATTTACGTGCTATTTTTCCCGTAAAAATGGTTTTATGCAACACCTGCAATTTCTGTTGCATAAACGACACTTAAGTGAACACTTACAAAAATCGTAAGTGCAACCACTTAAGTGAATTCCCTAAGTGGACCACTTAAGTAATTTAATGCAACTGGCTTAAGTTACGAGTGCACGCACGCGTACCCGTAGTTGTTACAGGAGTTTTATGCAACCGAGCCCTGGCTAGGAAGATTTTGCAAACACTTCCTACGTCTTCGACATAAAAAAATATATTATTCAATTCAATATTCAATTCAGTTCAATACATTCAAAGATTAGTTAAATTCAAACTATAAATGTACTAGTAGATAATCTACCACGGCTATTGAAAACTTAAGGTTTGAAATATATTTTCGTTTTAGTCGAATTCAAACATACAGAATTTTTCACTTCTCACGGAGATTGTTTGCTAAACACCAAACTTTAAGTTCCTAGTGTTGGATTTTCAGTAGCTGGTTAATTATATAAGATCGCACAAAATTCGGCTCTTATCAATTGTAGTTTTTTGTTTATTTTTGTCATAGTAATATCGATTTTCCTTGAAACTACATCTCGACAAATTTCAATCCATAGCCAATTACTGGTGAAAATTTTATAGCGATCCGACAAGGAAAAGCCCTCTTTTAAGGGGATTGAAAAATATCGATATGGCCTCAGGAAAACTGCATCGAAACACCGTAAGGCTTCTTTATTTGTTAAGTGAAAAGCCATGGTTGATGTTCAATCATTAGAACTGACCTTAACAGGTCCATAATAAGAGGATCCGTTCATCTTTTTGAAGCTTTCCGGCGTCATCTTCCATGTTTTGTTGTTCAGCTCACAAAGTCGTTTTGCAATATTTGCACCAGGATGAACATTAAATGACTTGCAGCTGTTATTTCTGTGGCATTCTTGGAGACATTCAAACTCGTCAACAACAGTAGACGTATTCATGACATGATCAACTAAAATATGGTCTGAAAGATAAAGTAATGAAAAACGAAGGAATATGAAACAATCAGTAGGGTTAAATATGAACCAGGGACATACAGTTTTTTATTGAATTTAACTGTACATTTTATTATAAAATATATTCTTTCTTGCTAATTAAATACATTCGACGTTCGTCAGAAGTAAAAATAAAGTGAAAACAGTTATAAATGATTTTAACATGAGACAAGTCGGCGGAATAATGGAAATGCTTTCAAAGTGCTTTTTTGTGCGAGTTCAGTATCTTAGAAGTAAAAGATGTAATAAAAAAACTCTTCTTTAGACTAAAACTAGTAAAATAAAGGTATTGAAAAAGGTCTCGAAAAACGTTTTATAAAGCTGCAAGTGTTAACTTACCAGTCCGACTTTCAAAAGCGCTCGCACAGCAGTCCGAGTTAGATAACACCAGCGAACTTGCGATCAGAACGTTAACAGCCAGAAAAAACAGATGAGCCGCGAAGTTGCCATCGACATGTAGCTACATGTAAATGCACCATTACGTTTCAGCCTTATACTTTGAGTGTTCCGTTTCAGTTTGTTTTAACTCTATTGCAGTGGCAGTTCCCGGACGGCGTAATTTGTTAATTCATGAGTATATTTGGAACGGCTAAATCAAAATTTGAAAATCGAGCTTAACTATATTTTCAACTAAGCCGGTAAAACAAATGAACTTTTTTGTTCAAGGGAACGTCTCATGAGTTAAAAAAGCACAGTAATATGAAAAAGCAATAATATGCAACGAACGAATTCTATTAATAACACGCCCCAGAGAACATTTGCATTACCGGCTGTAAGAATCCAGGACGGGGATTCTTACATGTGACTGCCGAGCTAAAAGATATAAATTATTCTGAAACACTAATGCCGATTTACGGCCAGACTCAATCGAAGCTCAGGGAAACAAATTGGCTATTGCTATAGTATGTCTATTGGGCATTCATAGGGAAATAGAGTGGGGCAATTGAACCATAGGGGTAAAATTAAAGAGATGGATGACTGAACCAGTTTTTGGCCTGAATCCATCCGCTAAGTGCAGTGTTGATATTATATTTGATTATTAAGATGTCTCTTTTCATCTTTTTAGTCGAGGGATTCTTAATTAATCGACCGCCACTAAGCTAGCCCAAATACGCTGCGTAAGCAGGTTGCATTTCCCAAAATGCAAAAATTTAAGAATGGACGGGGGAAGATCGATCTATGTTTCAACTTGGACGTTACGTAAGCGTAACGCGACTGTTGTCAATTAAACCCTCTATCCTCCGAATTCCGAGTGACACTCCACGCGAAAACCAATTTCGTTCTTCCAGTGAAAAAGGGGAAAAGGGTGTTTTTTTTTGTTGTTATGTGGTTTGGTTTTGTTTGAATTCGTTACTGAATTTGGCAAAGCGTTTTTGTTGACATTTATTTAGGTTATAGATACTAATGAAATACCAGGATTTTTTCCTCTTACTAAAAAATCATATCTTCATCGCGCGCAGTGAAGATACTATTTTTATTTTTCTCGTGTGAGGATATTTGGTGTCGCCATGGTTACTAACATGATTAACCAATTACAAGAGAACTTCCCGTTTTTAATAATTTTTTTTCACGAAAAACTGAACTCGTCCGGACCCTGTGGAACAGGCTAAACATTTATTGATTAAGGCTTAGTTCACACACCGGATAGCTTTTCGTGTCGACACTCTCTTCTCCGCAGATGCATCCGCAGATGAGCTTTTATGTAGGAATTTCATCAGTATCTATAGAATAAACAGAACATTACATGGCCGCTTGGGGATACGAATTTTATCTTCTCGTGCTGAAGTATCTCTCACTCGTTCGCTTCGCTCACTCATGAGAGATACTTTCAGCACTGGAAGATAAAATTCGTATCCCCGCGCGGCCATGTAATATCCTCTATCATAGGCTTCGGCCACCATTAAGTACGACAAAATAATTAAAAAAGGTCGCGAAAGAAATCGCGAAAAGTTCGCAGACTGAAAAAAAAACCCGTAAATGTGGATGGCAGCTAACACAGGCTCCGTACGGGTACAGAGAGCACAAATGAAGCGCAACGCCACCGTTCTCAATCAAACCGTCGATCCTCCGAATTCCGAGTGATACTCCACGAGAAAACCAATTTCATTTTTCCAGTGAAACATGGGTAAAGGGTGGTTTTGCATTAATTCGTCAGTGAATTTTGCAAAGCATTTTTGTTGGCTTGTCATTAGGTTAGGTTCGGACTCCATTAAGTTCAAAATAATAATTAAAAAAGGTCGCAAAAGAACTCGCGAAAAAACAGGCTCCATACGGGCACAGAGAGCACAGACAAGACTTAAAAAAGCTGCCCTAACCGAGTTAAAGGGGGAGAAAGATCGAAGATGTTGTCTAATTTGGATGTTGATTGTCATTGGCTAGGAAACTAAGAAATCACTCGGCTGGTTTTGCAATTTAGGCAGGGGGAGAAGTTGAAGTTTTTGTGAGACGAGTCAAATTGCTATTTTGGTCGACCTTACTTCAGTTGAGTTCGACTACTGGGTCACAACCGTCGAACTTGGCTGAGCGTCTAACTAAGTTCAAAGGTAATAAAGGGCGTGAAACAATTTTACAGTCGTCGGTAGAAGCCTGCTTTGCAGAAACCCGTTGATAACAGACAATTCTCATTGTTCCGTTAAATTGCACAGTATATTCTTGAATTTGTAATGAATAAACAAGAACAAACGGAGGCATATGCAGAAAACAGTAGTGTTTAACATGAACCTAGAACATACATTTATTCATGTTATGACCTTTCGTGATAAAGAGATGTACTGGCTTGCAAATTGCGATTTGATACAAGCGCGAATCGTCAAAAGTAAAAAAAAAAAGTGATAAAAGTTGTAGGTAAGTTTAACACCGAATATAGTCGGGAAAAGGAAATGGATTTAAATTGCTTATTGTTGGAGTTCGTCATTTCAGATTTATTAAAATGGCCAGTATTAAAAAGATGGAATAAGAAACCGTCTACTTTAGAGAAAACCCCGTTAAATAAAGGTATTTTGTTTGCGCCCAGAGACACGACAAAGTTTTCGAAAACCGTTCCGTAAAGCCACAGGTTTCAACTTACCAGTCTGAGTTTCAAAAACGCTGGCACAGAAGTCCGAGTTAGATATCACCAGAACCACTGCCATCAGAACATTAACAGCCAAAAAGACTAAACCAATGAGCCACGAGGCAGCCATTGACAGAAAAATGTTTGGCTTAACTTTGCTGTAGCTACGTCTATTTGCACCAGAAAATACACACCAGCCTTGTACTGTGGTTGCTCAGTATCAGTTTGTTTTGTTTTTGAACTCTTTTGCGTTGGCAGTTTCCAAGCAAAGCAATTTATAATTCATAAGTGAATCTGTCACTACTAAATAAACATGCTTAAAAAGATTTTACTTATAAGAGTTGAGCTAAACTTCATTATCAGGTAAGCCTATAAAACAAGTGTAGTTACTTTTTTGTTCAAGGGAACGTCTCATTTAAAAAGAAGCACAGTAAGATGAGAAAGCAGTAATGTATGCACCGGGTGAATTCTAGTAATACTACTGATTCCCTCAGGGAAACCTTGCATTACCGCCTGTTAGAGTCTAGGACCGGGGTCCTTAAATGTTACTGAAAATTGAAAAGTGAAACTGATAATTTTTCATTATTCTGAAATACTATTGATTTTAAGTCAGACTCAAGCGAAGCTGAAGGAAATAAATTAACTATTGCTTGTGCATATCTATTGGGCATGCATAGGGGTAAAATTAAAGCGAGACTTGATTGAACCAGTTTTTGGCCTGGCTCCATCTGCTAAGTGCAGTATTGATATAGTATTTACAGTAATTATTAAGAGCAGTTGTCTGTAAGATTCGAACTATATTGAAAAGTCGCTGCCACACTATCTCGCCGAATTGGCTAAAAATTGGCATGTAGACTTGATTTGGGGTCTTTTATAAGGAATAGGTAACTTTAGGTTCTAATTCCTCCTATTTGGGAAATTATCGACATGGCCGGTTTTTGGGTGCCTCGGACCGGCGCCATATTGGTTAATAGCAGATGTTTTTGAGCCTTCGACTACAACCCTGACTTCAAAGCTAATCTTCCTCTGCCGATACACATTGAGAGAACTATCCCTCTTTATTGTATTTTTAGAAACTACTTCGAAATTGATAACGTTTTCGCAACGATCGATTAAACTTTTGCTTAGTATACTTTTTGAGTTTTTTACGCCGGCAAAATTTCACAAATTCAAAGGCGTATATCTCCCTTGCCACATCGCATTGAAGCTTGCCACTCTGCCTGAATACTCATTGCTTGTAGTTAAATCGAGTTCGTTAATAAAAAAAATTGGGCAAATTTAACCGAGCAGAAACAAAGTAATGAATGGAAGAGTGTTCTGACGACTTTGTCAATAAGCTTTGCACCGAATACTCGCCAGGTGTTGCCAAAATAATAATCGATAATGGAGTTTCTGTCACTAAATCTGAGTGATCTGTATGATAAAATTAGCCTCTGTAATATTAGCGATAGCTCTGCTGCGAAAAACAGTAAAAAAGGGCAGATTGTATAAGGAAAAGGAAAATGAATTTGTTATATTTATGCTACGACGCGTAAACAAAATGCAACCATCACAGTCGAACTGGAATTTTCCTGATTATCCTCCAGTTCCTTTATCGAAACCAGAGCTTTTAAAATTAACGATAATAATGAAAATTGAAATGTATTACCTTACTCGACGACAAAGATGCCAATTTCCATCTTGATCGAAAAAAAGTAATACAGTATTTTCCCACGCATATCGCGGGTCGTCACGTTCCTTGCATTGCGTTACAACTCACGTGAAACCGCCTGCCTTTCAAACAACTGAACTGAAGAATCCGTGAAAATCTTAGCCAGGCAATAAATAATCGAAGTTGATATAAGTTTTCTTTATTGTAGTGAGCGCGGATGCGATGATAGTTCCAGCTACATGTGTTTACAGCGTTTGAAGATTCGCTCAAAACTCATAAGACATGAGCCGTTGAAATAAACATCATTACTTCCGGTTTTACAAATTGAGCGTTGGCAAAGTAATAAATAGACTCAATCCATCTTGTACACCATTATAAACGGTTTCGTGCAAAATTGTCAGGTATGTTGTTCCAGTCACGAAGCTCTTTTTGAGGAGATTCTTGGTTTTTCTATAAAGTGTTTTGTGATAAACGGGAAAATTGGTTTGGAATGGGTTGAGAAGAATGAGGGATGAGCACAGGAGATAAAAAAACCTAGTCATCCCACCGAGGGGCTTTGATACTGTGCGCAAATGCCCCACCCTAAGGACAATTCCAGATTTTCGTTTTCTTGAAAAAGCTTAAAATCTAAGTAAAGAAAACAACAAAGAAAATTCAGTTAGCGACCAGAGTGCCGATATCGCGAACAATAAGGGTGTTCTTTCATGGAGTGATTGAAGTTGTGTCTGCAGTTTAATGCAAAATCATTCACCATGCTCACGTACCTTTCGACAACATAGGTGTACCGATCGACGTAATATCAATGGTAAAAAACGAACGCTTTTTACTGTAGGAAGATGACGTCATTATACAAAAGGCGTCTTCACTTTGGCATCCTCAATTTCAAACCGTCAAAACCTAATTTTCTCTGCTTGTCAACTGAAAAACGCCTCTAAGGACAAGCAGTGGTAATGTGCTTGTTAGTAAGACGTCCAGCTTAAGGAGACATTCATAATTAACTTCAATTGGTCAATGCATTAATAAACAAATACTTTCTCCTTTAGCCTTAGGGACAGAGTTCAAAAGCCCAAAATATTTTTATCTCAGCTCTAGCATGTGTTGTCTAGCGATTTGCCTTGAGCTTCTCTGAATTTTCCAGATCAAACAAGCTGTGCCCACCGTACATAATCTTGCCTGCGCTCCCTTGAAAAATTGCACCTGATCAGAAGCCTTCAAGTTCATCGTCTGCCGCGACAACTTCATGATCTATTTTAAGGGGTGATTTTCTGGAACTATCCTGTGGTTTGTCCTTTCTGGTCGTCACTATATTAGCGTGCGCGTTTCAATTTCTCTCCAGCAAAAGTCTCTATCAGGAGCGTAGCCAGGATTTTCCAGGTGTGCGCACAATTTTCAAAACTTACCCTAACTTCTCACTTGGTTCTCCCGTAACGTTTCACCATTACATTTGCCAATTCTGTTAACTAGGTGAGGTTATGCGTGGATGGAATGGCACTTGCAATCGGTGAGAAAATTAGGTTAAACACTTTGCCCTCAAGGACGGCTCTCCCGTTTTGCTGACACTTTCTACCTTACAAGGGAAAAGTGGAGCTTTGCCTTCCCCACTCCCTGTAAACAATGTCGTTCGGCTGTTCAAACTTAAACTACCCAACTTTAATTTTTAATAAAAGTATAAAGGCAGGAATCCAAACTGTTTGCAAATGTTCTTCAAAATGTACGCCATTTAAATGGCGTCTTTCACTGATTTCAACACGAAGATTTTGAAGCAATGTCTAGTGAGTACGGGGGCTAATGCTCCATCGCAAAAATTTGAAATTAAAAAGTCTGAAAAATCTTGTATAATAGGAGTACACATTTTTACTTATTTTATAGAGTTGTGAAAGAACACAAAATTGTTTCTTCTTGAATTTGTTATACTCTCATTCAGTTTGAGTGTTTTCAGTCTTTCCGATACGCCCGTCGGGTATCGGAAATTACTGTAAATGATCGATTAAGCGCCGCGGCGCTTATTTCATTTTCCATGTTAGGGCCGAGCGCTTATTAGGGAGCGGCGCTTATTTCAACTACAGGTGAAACACAAAGGGGAATATAGAGAGAACTACGAGTTGGGCAAGAAAAATTACAAATATGCACACCTCGAACTGTTATATGAACCAGGTTTCGAAAGTTTCCGTACATTAAAACCTTAGAACTCACGAGTGGGTCGTGGTCTTGTTTGTCAAGCAATATGATTTTGATATCTTTTCATATCAAGCGCCGTAACAAAGGTGGGGCGTTTATTTGTAAATCAAATTAGCGCTGCGGGGCTTATTCCAGAGCGGCGTTTATTCGAGTAGCGGCGTATAATCGATCATTTACGATAATTTCCCTTTTCTTCGGAAAAAAATGAAAGATTTCCCCCTAGTCCCCGTCTTAGACGCTTTCATGTGCATTGGTTAAATTTTCTTTTCATAATAACCTACTATGCTGATAATCACGCATTCTGACGTCATTTATCCTTAAAACATTGGTTTATTGAAGAAAGAATGGAGTAAAAGTCTCTTGAGGCGTTTGTGATTTTACAAAATACTTGACGCCGTCCTTTTTTACGGCTTATGTCTGTTGGTGAAATTGCCACTCGGCTTTTCTTGGATTGAAAAGGCCGGGCTCTTTCTAAACGTGGCGTTGTTTATGGGACCTCAGTATACAGAACAGAATCGGTCGATGGCAAACAACGAAAAGGCTTTTATGTGGTAAGTTACAGTGATGAACCTTGCCTTGAGATGGTCATATTTTTGTACGTACCTTCAGTGTTGGTCTGGAAATTTTTTGTAATGGATGGGTTGGGGGGTGGGGGGGGGGGGGGGGGAAACCTTGCCTTGAGATGGTCATATTTTTGTACGTACCTTCAGTGTTGGTCTGGAAATTTTTTGTAATGGATGGGTTGGGGGGTGGGGGGGGGGGGCGGGGAAGCGGAGAGACCAGAACATGTAACACATGTTGTTTACGAGACATTAAAGCAATGGAAACTGTTAAAACAGTCTTCTACAAATCAAACAGTTCTAAATGCTTACGGCAGGCCCTAACTATATAATGATTACAAGGGCAATATTTGGAAAGGCGCATGGTCATGGAGTTAAGGAGATTTGACTAATCAGCCAATTTCCCGTTAAACATACTGGTGTGGCCTGAATTGTGTTCGCTCGCCCCGGGCTCGCTCGACTTTTGGGATTCGGTCATGGAGGCTATAAACAATTCATCATCTATATAGCCTAGTCGCTCCAAAGTGACTGCATTTCGCTTTTCAGAGACCCATCAGTGACTTTTTGACTCTCCCGAATCAGAATTGATGTCCTTGATGTAATACTGGTGGTGAGGTCAGTCTACAAGCAGAGTCGTGAAAAACACCGACACTTTAGCTTTTCCCTTTAAAACATTTCTGACTATCGGGAAAAAAAAGAAGGAGCTTAAAATACCAAAATAAAATGTCATTTCAAATTTCA